CTTTTCAAGCAACTGGCTAAGAGCTTCCTAAAAGACCATCAAATCAAATTCTAGACTCATAACTATAGTTATCTTGGAGAATACACTACTGGACACAGTGTAACTTACTGTTGACTGCACATCTACACTGACCATTTGATGTAGTTTCAAGCTGATTCCAAGAACAGAAGTCAATGGCTCAGAGACTGGAATATCACAGACCTAGAGAACTATACGGAGTTCCTGATATTGAACAACAACCTCATCACATTGAGAGAGGAACGCATGGGTGACTGTCCCTTTAAGAGCAGAGAATCGTCCCTCATACGGTCACACGTGGAAACTTAAGAGCTGGCAGTACATTCATCACAGGTCAATATTACCATATTTTTTTGTCTTTAATCAGGAGAAACAACAATATTCGAAAGCCAAAATATTACTTGCATAGCCCAAAGCTCCTTACATTAAAGGAGACTGGCACCAGTTCAAAACCACTTCTTTCTATGGGATCCTATTGTTTTGCACCAAACCCCATAGGATACAAGAAACAGTGGGCCAAGTTAAAACCACTGCTTTCCATGGGATCCTATTGTTCTGCATTCAACCCCATTGGATCCAACAGACTTCTGACAGTTGGGCAATGAAACAGGATGGGAAATCTGATGGTTCCCGTCCCATCTGTTTTTCATTGTAACCATGGGAGTAAAGTGCAATAACAGGTAGGAGTTCCAAACAGGATTGCTGGCTCATGTTCATAATTCCCTCCTTTCAGGACATTTCTACTTCTTTTCAACCCTGGAACATACGATGAGCTCCGTACCTCTCCATGCTAGAAAAGAGGCTGAAATGTCCTACCAGGGGATAATTTCTCAATGTGATCAGGTCAGATTGCCAGAGTTCCCTCCTTTCAGGACACTTCTGCCTCTTTTTAAGCATGGAGGGTGTAAAGATCCCTTACCTTTCCAGCCTGGATGGCAGGGCCTAGGAACAGCAGGCCAGTTAGTTGCAGCTTTAGTAGGCCTGGCAGAGGGCAGCAGTAGCCATTTTAGTTTAGGGAAAACACCATTTTAGAGAGGGGGAGTGTCCTAGGCCTGAGTTAGCATTAGAACAGCCAGGATTGGTTCAGAAAAGGGGGCGGAGTTTAGCAAGGTTTGGAGGGAAAGAAAGAGGCTTTTTCAGTCAGTCTGTTGTTGTTAGAGATTAGAGTAGGAAGGTAGATTAGGAGTTCGTGTCTTAAGATTAGTTAAGAGAAGGCAGTTTGCCTTAGGCTTGCCAGCAAAAGATACCTGTTTTTTCTGTAGTTAGCTAGGCCTCAGTTTAGGGTAGCTAAGCTACAGTTGTATCTTGACAGAGATTCAGTTCCTGTCAAGTGTACTTGGTTTTTAAAGAGAAGAAAATCTCTGTTGTTGTAACAAAGAAAGAACAACTTTACATGTAACCATTACGCTTTGAAGCCAATAATCAACATTTTCTCTGTAACCGCCAAGATTTCTAAACAGCACTTACTTTCTCTTGTATTTTTATCAATAAACTTTCCTTGTTTATTTTAAAACCTAAAAAGCCTGAGTCAAGTGTGCATTTGTGGATACCGTCCCTTTCCAACCTCAACTGTTTTCCTTTAAAGAAGGAAAAGAAGTCACAGTGCTTGGTGGTCTTAAAACGCATTTTTAATATTTTAAACAGCTAGGGTGTTCCTGTACATTTCAGTGTTGGTGGCAGCGGACGTTAATTAGAGAGACATCCCCTCATAACATTTATATTGGTGCCAGTGAATTCTTTATTATAAAACCGCTGTTGAAGAAACCATCACTGGACCCCACTAAATTTGACAACTTTCAGCCTGTTTCCAATCTCCCCTTCTTGGGCAAAGTCATGGAAAGCGTGGTGGCCTCACAACTCCAGGTATTCTTGAGAGACACGGATTATCTGGATTCGGCACAGTCTGGTTTCAGACCGGGACATGGAACCGAGACGGTCTTGGTCGCCTTAGTGGATGATCTGCGCCGGGAGCTAGACAGGGGGAGTGTGTCCCTGTTGGTGCTCCTGGACCTCTCAGTGGCCTTCGATACCGTCGACCACAGTCATTTCTGGAGGGTCGTACCCAGAAGGTGTTATTGGGGGACTCCTGTTCAACACCACAGCCTTTGACCTGTGGGGTTCCTCAGGGCTCTATACTGTCCCCCATGCTGTTTAATATCTACATGAAGCCGCTGGGTGAGATCATCCGGAGTTTCGGGGTGCGGTGTCATCTGTACGCAGATGATGTCCAACTCTGTCACTCCTTTCCACCTGCTACTAAGGAGGCTGTCGAGGTCCTGAACCGGTGCCTGGCCGCTGTAAGGTCTGGATGAGGGCGAACAAACTGAAATTAAATCCAGACAAGACAGAGGTACTCCTGGTCAGTCGCAAGGCCGAACAGGGTATAGGGTTACAGCCTGTGTTGGATGGGGTCGCACTCCCCTTTAAGGCGCAGGTTCGCAGCTTGGGTGTGACCCTGGATTCATCATTGAGCCTGGATCCCCAGGTTTCAGTGGTGAACAGGGGAGCATTTGCACAGCTTAGGCTCGTGCGCCAGCTGCGCCCGTACCTTGGGAAGTCTGACTTGGCCACGGTGGTACACGCTCTGGTCACATCCCGCCTTGACTACTGCAACGCTCGCTACGTGGGGCTGCCCTTGAAGACGGCCCGGAAGCTTCAGCTAGTCCAGCGCGCGGCAGCCATGTTACTAACAGGAGCGGGACGCAGGGAGCACACAACGCCCTTGTTGTTCCAGCTCCACTGGCTGCCGATCTGCTACCGGGCCCAATTTAAGGTGCTGGTGTTATCCTACAAAGCCCTAAACGGTTCCGGCCCAAAATACCTTTCGGACCGCATCTCGGCCTATGAGCCCACGTGGGCCTTGAGATCGTCTGGGGAGGCCCTTCTCTCGACCCCGTCTGCCTCACAGGCACGTTTGACGGGGACGAGAGAGAGGGCCTTCTCGGTGGTGGCCCCCCGGCTGTGGAACGCCCTCCCTGTTGACATCAGACAGGCGCCCTCCCTGATGTCCTTCCGTAAGAGCCTAAAAACATGGCTATTTGAGAAGGCATTTAATTGAGTGCTATTAACTGGTAATGACAACGGGAACGGAATACGGACTACGAGTTTGGCTATGATTCTATGACGAGACGGAGCGGATTATTTAGTGTAACTATATTATTGTGTATTAATGATGTTGATTTTCCGTTTTTGCTTTATTGTAAATTGTCTTTTATATGTTGTACACCGCCGTGAGTCGCCCTAGGGCTGAGAATGGCGGTCAACAAATGCAGCAAATAAATAAATAAATAAATAAATAAAGGACAGTTGGTGGGTTCTGTTTGCCCCCCTGTCAGGATATATTAGTGGCCACATCTATACGAGTCTTTATAATTGGTGACAGCGGTGGGATTGTTTGGCCCCCCTGCCCAGACAGCCCTTTAACAGCCTTTATAGAGGGCTATGCATGAAGACTGGAAGTAGTTTAACTCATGTGACGAGCACAGTGTCTCTCCATTCTTGAAAAGAGGCTGAAGTTTCCTATGGCTGGGAAATTTCTCAATGTGATAAGGTGGCAAGAGGCTAATAATCAGAATCCTGCTGAATCTGAATGAGATCTCTCCCAGATTACTTTCCCCAAACCTTTGAATGGATTTCTCCCTTGAAGATTGGGATATTCACATAATGTGGTGTGCATATGCAGGACTGTATTGTATCTTTCAAATCTGAACTCACCCATCAATCGGGGATGCTTTGAATGTGATTTTCCTGCTTCTCAGCAGAGGACTGGATGGCTCATAAAGTCTCTTCCGACTCTATGATTCTATAATTTCTAGGTAGGCTAGAAAAAGTGAAAAGCCCAAGACAATGTATCAATATTTCATATCTCTTGTATAATAGGGAAAAGGGCAAGATTTATTTATTTATTTATTTATTTATTTACAATATTTATAGCCCACCTTTCTCAGCCATATGGAGACTCAAGGTGGGTTACAGACTGGCACAATTTGATGTCAGGCATTTGTAAAAGTGCCATTAAAAACAATCAACGTTGCAATATGAAACACAAATAAAAATCATTAGAGCATATAATCATCGGTGTCATCTTGTTAAAAACATTATCTAATAACATCGTCTGGCCATTCCATGTTCATCATTCATAGTTCCGTGTTATCTATTCCGCTGCATTCTCAAAAGCTTGCTCAAAGAGCCAGGTCTTTACTTTTTTTTCGGAAAGTCAGGAAGGAGGGGGCCAATTTAATATCCCTGGGGAGGGAGTTCCATAGCCAGGAAGCCACCACTGAGAAGGCCCTGTCCTTTGTCTCTGTCAATCGCACTTGCAAGGCAGGCGGGATTGAGAGCAGGGCCTCCCCAGATGATCTTAAACTCCTAGATGGTTCATAGGAGGAGATATGTTCAGACAGGTAAGCTGGGCTGGAATCATTTAGGGCTTTATAGGCTAAAGCCAGCACTTTGAATTGTGCTCGGTAGCAAATTGGCAGCCAGTGGAGCTGACGCAACAGAGGAGTAGTATGTTCCCTGAGCGCCGCTCCGTTAGTAACCACGCTGCCGCATTTTGGACCATTTGAAGCTTCCGAACAGTCTTCAAAGGCAACCCCACGTAGAGCACATTGCAGAAATCTATTCAGTAATCTATTTAGAAAAGATCTATTCCCTCAAGAGACATAGTTACTGAAATTCTTTCAGTAAAACAATACGGTAACAACTAATACACTTTCCCAAGTCTCCTATTCTATCAATCTATAGCCTTGGGAAATGCCTTAGTACAAGCCTCCTCCAGGATACATTTTCATAATCTTTACTAATCTATGTTATCTCAGACTGAAGCTCCTGTAGATGTAAATGAGATGCCCTCCTTCCCTTTCACCTCTAATTAGAGTCATAGAACAGCCCACACAGCTTGCTTCAAGGCATACAACTACAAGCACTTCAAATAGCAGAGTATATCAGCAACTTAATCCATAAGATCACGGGGGAGGCACTCTGTTTATCCCAAGCCAACAAGTGGGTTGGACATTGGTGGCTAAGAAAAGAAACCAAGCAAGAAGGACTGGAGAGGCAGGCTGCCTTATCCTTGCGGCTGAAACAAGGAAGGAGTCAGAGGAGAATTCAAGGGCCTTATAGAAGACAGGAAAAAGATAAAAAGGTACCAGGTAACGCTCCCTCCCCTCCCCTATGATCACTGTGATCTGGAAAATGAGAAAAGAGGGCTCATCTCATTAGGAAGCCTCCTATCAGCCCTCCTTTTACTAAAGCAGGCATTCACATGCCACTAAACTAAGTGTAGCCCACCACTGGATGAGCCTGCCAAATGCACAGTTCCCTCAATTCCTTCACTTCGCATCCTGGCAGGAAATTCATATGTATTCTTTAATGGAACCAAAAGTACTTTCTAAGCAGGGTAATTTAGACAGTGAAAGCCATATAGCAGCAAAGAACAACAATTCTCCCCATATCAATCAAATCTAGAGCTTTTGAAACATCATATTTGAAGTATCGTTCACACTACTCAGTTGTTTCAGGTCATTTCACTAGAACATCCACTTCTTGCTTCTTTGGAAGGAATGTTCAAATCCACTCTGTATTCTTCGCCATGAACCAATATGTACCAGTTCAGGGTTAACCTTGGCTCTGAGGTTTTCAAGCCAAAACCTGAAATGTAGGGATAACTTCTATTAATATCATTAAGAATTATGCATTGAGTACCAACTGCCCTTACTTATATCTTGTTATTGAAATATGGGGGGGGGGGGAGGATATGTTTTCTTATTTTGAAATTAAGAGAAGAGTCTTTCTTGCAAGAGGTACTATTGCCAAATCAATGTGAAAAATTAAAATTATTCCTTCTCATAGTATTTAGGGAGATGGGGCAAGGAACATTTAATACAGTCCATTTGTTTCTAGTGAGAAAGAAGTGGGGGGAGCACTGCCACACCACAAGGATGGGAAAGAAACTAATTAAATGAAGGCAGAAACCTCCTGGAGAGTCTTTGTAAATTCCAGTCACACATCAATTAAGCCTTGCAAATGTTGCTCTACCAGCTGAACTGAAGATTTACACACAGCCCTTTCCCCTTGCTTGAGGTCAAACCCAACAAAACTAAAGAATTTCCACACTCACCTCCAGCCTGGAGGTGACCCATAAAAATGGAGACTTGGGATCAAGTTCTGGCAAAAAATGGAGACAGAGGAGTTCTGAAAACCAGTCAGGCTCTCCTGATTCCTCAAAGATTATGTGAATTAGCCCCAAGAACTGAATCCATAAAAATGATGGATATGGTTTCAAAGTAGTAGATTTCACAATGGCAACATGTTAAAATTTCACAAAAAATCCCAAGTAGTTTAATGATTTATCAAGTTTTAGTAACCATTTTGAGTTGATACAAATCTAAAAAAAATAACTCCACAAATAGATAACATCTCATTAGGCCTTATGTTGCACAGTCACCATCTTACAGATGACTAAGGCTAGGGACTGTTTGTGCACTGGGAGCGGTATTTAGTGGTAATCATTTGAAACTCTATTCCCATCCCTTTCAAGGAGTAAAAGAGTTTCATTCATGGGTGGTTTGTGGTTGCAGAGTTATAGCAATTTTGAATTGGGTCCATCTCTTTGAAACATCTGTATTTCCAACACAATGCTCTTTCCACCCAATCTTCTTTGGTGGATTTCTTTAAAGCAAAGTTACAGCAAAAAAATCTTTGGTTTTAATTCCTAAAATGAAATCAGTTTTAGGAATCAAATATAATTTCTGTGGTCTGAATAGGCAGTTCCTCCAACCCTGGGGCATAGAAAATCCTATCATAGCTATCAGTCTTTTAGATTTGTAGTTGAAATTTGGTTTCTAAGGATCGCAGAAAAGGAGGGCCCATGCCTGGTGAGGTCTGCTAGTCATCAATGTTCCAGGAAAAGAACAGGACCCATCAGTTAAAGGCAAATGACAGTCTTTATTAAATCTGCAGAAGGGATGCAATGTACACAACAGATGCCAAAATGTACAAGCATAAGCATTATGGAATGCAAAATCATTTTTATACAGTAGAAAGCCCGTGCATTAACATTGTCTAGTTTTGAAATTCCTTCCCTCATCCTGATTGGCTGAGTGCCAGAAGCCAGCCAATGCTGCCATCACTCCTGATTGGCCAAGGGGTGGGCTCAGGCTGGCTCACTGGGTGAGTGGCTCTGGCCCCAATGACACAGCCAGGTGGGAATGCCCTAGGGCTGCCAATCAGATGTTGGAGTCATCTCTTGCGGCAGAGAGAGGCTTCCAGGAAGCTGCATCCATACCTGGAAGCTTAAGATAGAATTTTAGGAGACAATGAACATCCAGTCGTGGAGATGATGGGATTAAGCAAATGCTGAGTTCAGGATTCTGGAGATAATGTGTAATGATCTTTCTAGTCCGTTCCTAGATACAGCAAACAAAGAGTGAGCCTATTGGAATGTCAGAGTGATCATATTTCCTTTGGAGGGGGATCCCTGATGACAACCATAGGGCCATCTGCCCAGTTGCAGGGAAATAATATCTCAGCTACATCTTTTGCCTTAGGTGTTGAGGGAAATTCCAGAATTGTTGGCTCTGTCTGGAGTCAGGCAGAGGTTAGGAAAGTTCACTATAGTTTGCCTTTTATTTAATATATTTATAGAAATAAAATAAGTCTAAAATGAAATAAAGCATAGTGTATAGTTGGGAAAATGCAGGAAAGAAGCAAGGTCTGGTAAGCCAAGATGGTGGTGCAGTGGGCATGCATAGAGGGGTTGGAAAGATTATTTCCTTTATTTCTTTAATTATTTAGCTCCTGCACAAGTGTGCATATTTGGTCCAAGTAGAATGTGGATATAGAATAGACAGAGTCAAGGATAGAAAGTGTTCTGAAGTTCATGGTAGAAAATAAATTGTAGCATCATAAAGATACGTTTCATTTTGGTTAACTGAATATTTAGTTTGTCCCTAGAAAAACTTCTCACCATGGGTCAGGGTCAGGCATGTAGCCGGGGGGGGGGGGGCTTGAGGGGCTTAGGCCCCCCCGAAATTCTAATGGTGTTTCACGAAAAGGCCTTACTGGTGCATTATTTAAACTGTTATGTTTATTCATATCATGATCTGATCACCATATTCAATATATCCCATATGCATGGGGGTATTGGGGTAATGATACAAAAGGTTTGCTAGGGTAGACCCTCTTTCACTCAGACTCAGCCCCCCCCCCGAAACTCAGCCCCCCCGCCCCCCCCCCCCGAAATGAAATCCTGGCTACGGGCCTGGTCGGGGTCCATGAGACAAGCACTGTTGCAGACTAGCGGAAATTAAAAAGCCTGGGCTCCATGTGATCAGGGCAGAGTCAGAACTGAGTGCCCATTAAAAATTTCTGAACCCAGTGAGAGAGACTCTCGGTTGGACCCTGCTCCAAGTGATCGTTGCTCGACCCTGGCCAGTTCATGTTTAAGGAGGCCTGGCTCCCTACGAATGTGTGCTGATCCAGATCAGTAAAGATTAAAGAGTTAGGCCAAAAAATGGGAAAATGGGAAAAACTGACTTCTAGAGAAGGTGAGCTGCTGCTAGTTCATGGTGGAGCACGAAAGACTTCATATGAGAGGAAGGGTAACAATATTTCATTCTGGCTTATTGCCTTGGTAAACTATAAATTCTTTGGAGTGAGAGTGCTGTAGTAGACAACATGATTGCAACACTCCTTGCACTGTAGAAACTGGGACAGAAAGAGAAAAGACAGTAGTGACTTGTCAGAGGCCAATAGAGGATTTACAAATCTGAAAAATCTTGTTAAAACAAAAATGTCTGCTTCCACCAGTTTCTCAAAATAACAGGTTCTATTGCAGGGAAAGAGAGCTATATTCCTTCTTCCTCCATCAATATTCCGAATAGGCTTCTATTTCCATTATAAAAATTAAATGGGGAGATATACCATATATACAAAAAAGGTGGAAACTTACATTGGAAAAAGAGTTCTGCATATCTTTTAGAAATAACACTCCCCAAGATAAATATTCTCATAAAGTCAATATCAATATTTCAAAAACTAATATCCTAATTCTGCTCAAGCCCCATTTCAGAAATGGTGTTTCTAACAAAACCTCCTGACACCTTTGAAAAGTTTCCTTCCCAGAAGAATTTCCTTAGAAATAACCATATTCAGGTTTTTGGTTTTTTTTTTTTGCAGCATCAGATGGAGATTATTTTCAATTAGCTAAAACGGTATCAGTTTCCAGCCATGTCTTTCACTGTCTCCAGAGTAGCATTAGTGATTAGTATCTAAAGAGAAACAAAATCTCTGCCAAGATACCAATTTTATCTTGTTGACCTCATTAGGCCAATTACAACTTCTGCTATGCTAAGCATCCTCAAGATACATACTGCATCAAGAGGTGAAAATGGAACCATATTCCAAGTTTTTTCACAGAGCCTTCTGGTCATCAAACCTATCCACTTCATTATATTAGAGACAGAAAGCCAAAGAAACAGCATTTAAAGGGCGACGGAGTGGGGGGTGGGAGGATTTGTCTAAGGATTTCAAATTTCTAAATTTACAGACTCATGATCCTAAGTTCCTTGCCATTTACACTGGTGTAAAGCATTCTTGAATCTAAAATGAAGAACAAAATTCAGCATGGCTTTCCCAAAAGGTTTCTCAAAGTCTCCTCATGTATGAAAGGTATTCAATAAAGCCCCTCTGCAAAGCCTCTTGAGTAAATTCAGCCATTACAGAATAAGCGCTCTTACAAGTACAGACAACTAATTAATGGGAAGTCTGACCCTGCAAGGGAAGAGTAAGATTCCTCCAGACTGGCAATTTGTGGTGGTTTGTCCTATACCGTTTTGCGCTACTCTTGCCACTTCCCTATCCACACCCATCCTTTATTTCTATTTTTTGCAAGAATTCAAGCGAAAGCAGGTCTAAATATCCTAAAGCAGTGGTTCTTAACCTGTGTGCTGCGGACCACCAGTGGGCCGCAAGGATGAAAATCTGCTCTGTAAGACTCCGTCCTCTTTATTTTATTTTATTTCTGCTCCTTTCGCATCACCTGCCACTCCTTCCCTGTCACAGACCAGACTGCTCCCTTGGATAGACCACATCAGCTCTGGATGATTAAATATGGTTTTCTGTGGGCTAACAGATGGCAACTGCTGGATGGCATATGTTCTGTATCGGAAACTAGAGATGATGTGGTCTATCGAATGCAATTTTTTGAATCAGCACCCCAAATAACCAAACCGAATCTAAAGTTGACCAAAAACTCTTTTGGTACTAATGTTGCAGAGTGGTCCCTGGTCAAAATAAGGTTGGGAACCACTGCTCCAAAGGCACCAGTTATGTTCTGATTTTGGAAACTAAGCAAAATCAATCCTTGTTAGCACTTGAATGGGGGAATGTCAATTAATACTAGGTGCTGTAAGCTATATTTCAGAGGGAGGAGCTGGCAAAAACCATTGAGTGTTCCTTCTCTAAGGGTGTTTCCAGACAGCGTCAAAATCCGTGTCAACGTGGGTTTTTTAAACATTATCTGTTTTGAACTGGACTATATGAGCCTACTATATAATCCAGTTCAAAGCAGATAATCTGAATTTTATATGACAGCGTAGATGGGGCCACAGTGTATAGTCCTTTACCTATAGTGGGAAATAACTGTCATACACACACCCTTGTTCCAGATGCCTTGTATTTTTGTGTGTTTTTTTTTTCTTTTTGCTGATCTGGCTCATAAAGGGGTGAAACTGGATGTTCAATAGAATAATGACCATGAGAGTGATACATTTTATTGTGTTGATCCACAACCCCTCCTATACCTACCTGCTTGATTTATATGCTGGTGGGGAAGTGGAAGAGCCTCTTCTAGGCCAAGTATATCAACCTCATGGGCTGGAAGGGGAAGGTCAGCCTGCTGAATGTTCATGCTCACTTGGGATGAAGAAGCCTCATGTGATTCACAGCTATCACAGAAACCAAGGAGAAAGTCAAAGTAAGAATGGAGTAATGTGCTTGTCCTCCTTCTACTAGCTTGTTCACTCACATACATGGAATTCATTTTTGCATATGTCAAAACGAAAAGCTTTCTCTTCCCTTTGTTTCCAGAAAGACCATATGTTGAGTGCATGAAACCAGAAAGAAGTTATGATCCACGCAGAGAACCATAGCTCAGAAAGCAGACACCATTACGAGACACCCGCCCTCTCTGAATTACAAAGGCTGGTATGGAATAGAGGAGGATCTGACAATCATGTGGATCAAGTTTGGCCAAACATCTACCTTGGAGATGCGTAAGGAAATGGAGGAAGTATTTCTTGTTACTTACCTGAATCAGTGTGCTCTAGTGCTTTGAGTATTGGCCCATATCCCTGGAGACCAGGGTTCAAATTTTGGCTTGGCCATAGAAACCTACAGGGTGACTTTGGATAAGTCACAATCTCACAGCCTCAGAGAAAGGTCCTCTGAACAAATCTTACCAAGAAAACCTTAAAGTTGCATACATCAGAAAGGACTTGAAGGCACACAATAACAAGGGGGCACTGTGAGGACAGAGAATGCAAAAGCAGCCTTGGGGACCACATGCAGCCTACAACCACAATTTGGTTTCCTAACACTTTAGAAGCAAGACATAATATATGAAAACTTGATTGTTTTCTCAAAGACTTGGCTGTAGGTAACCTGGATCAAAGACTACTTCAGCTAGAATTCTGCCAAACAGCTTGTGGGTATTGCATATATTCTCTGTAAAATCTTATGACACATGGTTGATCTTATTTTCAAGAAAAGAAAAATGACAGTACTCAGCTCCCCAATCATTACCAATATCCAGCAAGCACAACTTTCCTATAACTCTTTTGAGAAGTGGACTGTTAAACAATTTCCTACCGTTCAGGTCTTTATGTCTCCCCCTTTCTTTTTCCAATGATCTCTATAATTTCTTTCTTTTTTCAGAATGTGCTTTCTGAAACACACATAAAAGAAAAAATCATTAGACAAAATTGGAAAGAAAAGCACTTCACATTCACAACACAATCAAAATATCTTGAACACTGCTTGTTAGATACAAGACTGCCCTTCTTCCAACTCTGTGATTCTCCGACCAAGAGCACTCGGGGAAACACTTATCTTCAAAAGTTGCTCCAGATTGGACTCAAGACTTATCTCTACTTACTGAGTGGTAACAATAGCTGCACTTCAGCAGTAGCTTTTCCCCTTGCCTCATATGAAGGATTATAGCTGATCTACACCTGTACCAGGGTAATTCATTAGTTCACCCAGGGGTTAATTCAGTTGGTTGTTCTTTGATGTCTGGAAGAGCAACAGTTGCTTCAGCACCAGCAATTACTATTTTAAAAAGTGATATAGTTGTTTATATAAACATTATTATATAAACAACTATATGTTCCATTATTTGGGCGGAGACCAAAAGGGGACACTAGAGAAAGATAGTACATTTTACAGGGAAGACGGGGGGTGGGGGGTGATAAACTAAAACTATTTCCCCCTGTTTTCCTATTATTCACCCCACCTATGTTGCTGCTGTGGAAACAACAATCGTTTATGACATGGGAGGAGGAGGAGGGAATAATCAGTGAAAACGGGGAAAGTTGTTTTCTTCCTCCAACGCTCCCCCCCTCCAATTGGACTATCCTTCTCTGTCTAGTGCCACCTTTTGGCCTCCACCCAGATAGTGGAACAGTACCATATAATCAAATGCACAATTTATATAATATAAATATTCTTATATCCTTTTTTCTACATTAAAACTTCTAATATTGAAATTAATAATAAGGCACACTTCCATGGTTGCATAAATGGATTACTTTTTAATTCCCATTTGGGCAGAGTGGAATTCATATTGTACTCTGCCTCAAAATATATACAATTTAGTTTAATAACAGTCACTGCTTTGTGGAACTAGTTTAGGGCATATCTGAGCAGCAGTTAGCTTCCCCAGAAATAAATATGTTTATTTACAAATTTCACAATTGTAAAATGTTTTCATATATTATTCCCTGTTTCTGGAACTCTCTAATATGTTTAACTAAATTTTTTCATTACATACAAAATAATCTCTAATTCGAATTTTCTCCCAGGCTGTGCTTTCCCCACAAATAGTAACACAAATGTATACTCCCGATGGCGCAGTGGGTTAAACCACTGAGCTGCTAAACTTGCTAACCGAAAGGTCGCAGGTTCGAATCCAGGGAGCAGCGTGAGGTCCCACTGTCAGCCCCAGCTTCTGCCAACCTGGCAGTGGATGATGAGACTGGGTTCTGATTTTACTGTTGAGGCACAAATGATTGTTATACGGATGTTTAATTATATATGTTACAATTGTTTTTAATTGCCCTATACTTGTCTTGTGATGTTTTGTATTGATGTTGTTCACCGCTTTGAGTCGCCTGAGGGCTGAGAAAAGTGGTATATAAATAAAGTAAATAAATAAATAAATAAATAAATAAATAAATAGCATTTCAAAAACATGCAAATGTAAGTAGATCAATAGGTACCGCTCTGGCGGGAAGGTAACGGCACTCCATGCAGTCATGCTGGCTGCATGACCTTGGAGGTGTCTAAGGACAATGCTGGCTCTTCGGCTTACAAATGGAGATGAGCACCAACCACCAGAGTCGGACACGACTGGCAGGGCCGTAGCCAGAAAATTTTTTTGGGGAGGGTTGAATTTGGGGGGGGGGTTGAAATTTTGGGGGGTGGAAAATTCCGGGAGGGTTGAAAATTTGGGGGGGGGGAGTTGAAACCTGCCTCCTAGCTCACGCTGAAGCAAAGAGCACAGCAGGGGGCAGAGCAACCTTCAATAGCCTGCAGCTCCGCCCCTGTCAACCACCTCCACCAAGTCTGGCCTCCTTAATGAGAGCATTCAACACACACACCCCAACTTGGTTGCTTCACTACATCGGCTATTGCTGCAAGTAATGACAGTGTGAATAAATTGTCAATATTTGCTTGAGATAGTGCTTACAGTTCTGGAGGTACTCTTAATTTTTTGCATCTCATAGACTTAGCATGGGGATTTGGTTAACCAGTTAAAATTCATGAGTAAACCAGTTTTTTTTAAAAAAATCTGAAACATTTCGGGGGGGGGGTTTGAATCCCTAAAACCACCCCCTCGCTACAGGCCTGACGACTGGACTTAATGTCAGGGGAAAACCTTTACTTTTATACTCCCACTAAGATACTCTTCCCAATCACCCATTTTGGAGACACAAAAATTATTGAGGCATTACTATGCGGTGGTCTATGTTAAAGGTCAGAACAGTTATCACAAGGTGAGTGTAATGAAAATAAGCAGACAATCAGAATTAAAAACTAGATATAACTATGTTTTCTGATTCTCTATTATGCAGGAGAATAAAGGATAGCAATTCCACCCCCACCCCCAAAAGAAAGTCTGCTGGTGAAGGAACAGTCTTGCTCGCCATTTTACTGTATCAGAGCTGGATCCAGAAACACTGAGAAGGAACTGCACTTAGTGTGGGCTCTGAAAAAGCTGGAATAGTGAGGTAGATTCCTGGAAATCTGTAGCATGGGATGGAGAAAGTGTAGCCCTACAGATGTCACTGGACTACCATCAGCCCTGGCTAATATCCACAGTAAGCAGGAATAGAAAGTAGGAGTTGCAGTCTTAATAGCATCTGCCTGACTGCAGGATTTATACTCTTGCATCTAAATGCAAGGAGAATAGAAACTACTTCTGAATTGTCTTTTCTTCCAACAGTTCAATAAGAGCAGAAAAGAGTTGCTGGTAATCCTTGTTAACATTGTGGCCTGAGATGAATCAGTTTGCAGAGACATCACCCAGTAGACAAGAAGAATCCCTGTGGGTTTCAAGCTGTGCTACGAACTGGAGCGGAGAGATGGTCAGGGATCAGAGCCATGGGAGCCGATTATTGCTGCCCTCCTGGAGACCCTCCTGAGAGGCCTGTTAAATGCATCCACTTCAGCAATGGAGCCTAAAGAGTGACTGTCATTATCTTTTGACAGATGGGCAGCTCGGAGTAAAAGAATCATTCAGAGCCTTGGCGTTACTCACATCCTCAATGCAGCAGATGGGCCGTACAACATCAACACTGGAGCTCGCTATTACAGGGACCTGCCAGTGCAATACTATGGGGTCCAGGCATTTGATGACACCTCGTTTGATATAAGCATCTTCTTCTATGACGCTGCTGATTTCATACATAAGGCCTTAAACACTGAAGGAGGTAAAAATGGGGATGGGAGCAGAGACATCATTAGTACTGGGAAGTAGTATTCAGGGGTTTGCTGCATATCCTTAAAGATGCAAATGCGATTCTGAACAAGCAAAACCATCTAAGTTCATGCTATAATTTTGCAATGGGCATAAAGCAAGGTCAATTATTTTGGTCCTCAGGCAGCAGGAGGGACATCTTTGTGTCAACTATCTAGTAAAGAGGTATGGGGTTCTAGAACTGGAGAAAGATGCAAGATCATTTTGTTTTGAAGTATAAGTGCCCGGGAGGGGTGGAGCAGTAATGGTATTTGTATGCATGTATGTACATGTCTTTGGGTTGCTTATCAGCTTCTGGTGACCCTATTAATTTCACAAGATTTTCTAAGGCAAGGAATACCCAAGAGGTGATTTTGCTAGTTCTTTGCCTTGCAATATAGTCTACATTACAGGCAGACACTTGGGGCCTCCTGACTGTCCTTAACTTGTCATACTATCCTCCCTATGAATATGGGGGCAAGCAAACTGACATTGCAGCTGGACCATCACCTCTGGTGATGATCCCTATCACACACATCATGCTAGGAGTCAAGTGATGTTAGGGAGAGGATTATTATCTTTTTTCCCCTCTCCCCACTGCTATTCCAAACCCATTCACTTTGCATTGTTTTTTTAAAAAAATAGTGATATATGATATTTTTCCCCAACGCTGAAAGGAAAAATTGTCATGAAGTAATTTTTTCTAAATACCCATTACTGATTTAGAGAAATGTCCTCGAAGATTAACTCATTTCCTTCTCCTTCCCATCCTCTTACAACTCTTCCCAAGTATGTTACTAGCCTAGTCGTAGCATACTAAATTGCCTGTCAAACTAAGATATTATAATGTACAGGGTGAAGCAGCATAACTTCCTTTTTTCAAAACTTAATAAAACCCATTGTATGAATCAGAAATTTTTATTTTTTTTATAATGTAGGCACATACCTAAAGTTTTGTTTTACGTAGTTTTGGAGATCAAATTAGGTAGGTGACGTCCCCCATTCTCCATACACTGAGTAAAACGATTTCTGGCGTTTGTCATGACTCTTGCCAGCATAGCAGGCGTTATGTTGGCAATTTCTTCCTGGATGTTGGTCTTCAAATCTTGTAGGGTCCTTGGACCATTCACATAAACACAGGATTTCAAAAAACCCCATAGAAAAAAATCACAAGGGGCCAAATCTGGAGAGTGGGCCACCCACTCCAAATCTGCTCGAAAGGTAGGCCTCAATGGCAAAAACACGCTCTTCACTGTTCCAACGCATGATGGCGACTGAACTGTGTCAGGACAAAACTTTATACTCCCGCCTCTCGAACGAGACTACTAGTGATCCACTACGTCTTCAACCAACTGAATGGCGCGCCTTTTAAAAAAGGAAGTTATGCTGCCCCACCCTGTATTTTGGGTCTTTTGCCAAACTAGAATGTCTAATTTTATACATTCCATGGTGATTCAGGGCTGCTCTCTTCTTTCTTTACAGGCAAGGTGTTTGTCCATTGCGCAATGGGGTTAAGCCGCTCAGCGACCTTAGTGCTGGCTTATTTGATGATCTATGAAAACCTGACCCTAGTGGAGGCTTTGAAAGCAGTTGATTCACACAGAGGCATTTGCCCAAACACAGGGTTCCTCAGCCAACTCCGCGCTTTGGACCTCAAATTAAATAATGAGAAGTGAAATGATACAGCATTTCGGGACAAAGGTAGCAAACCAAAATTGCAAAGATAGGTAGCGCAGCTACAGTACTTCGTTACAAAATCATAACTGAAGCAGCAAAACCGTACCTTTTTCAAACTGTTCACTTTTATGTATACTCCATTCATTTAATCTAATCCTGAAATGTGGTACACAATAGCTCATAACTAGATTACGCCATTCACCTTCAATTTGTGAGGCGCAATGCACACCCAGCTCTTTCCAGATAAGCCATACTTGTTGCACCGTTGTCGCTATCTTTTCAATTAAAAAAGGGAGGAGGGGGAACCATACAGCAAGAGAGAGAAGAAGAGGATGATGAAAGAGGGGAAGAGGAACAAATGCATACAGGAAGTGGGTGAGAGGGGAGGAAAAAGAGATAATGAAATTGAGAACTCATGCTCTATGTGGATAATAGAAAACTATCTGAAAAATTAACATTATTATCCCATTCAATCTTTACAAATATTCTATGAAATAACCAGAGATACAGTTATCAGTTTAGATCAACCCAATGAACATAATGTGTTACATTTTGTTGTTCATTCATTCATTCATTCATTCATTCATTCATTCATTCAATGGTTTATATCTGATTTTGTAGATCAGGGGTCCTCAAACTAAGGCCTAGGGGCCGGATGCGGCCTTCCAAGGTCCTTTACCCAGCCCTCACTCAGGGTCAACCTAAGTCTGAAATGACTTGAAAGCACACAACAAAAACAACAATCCTATCTCATCAGCCAAAAGCAGGTCCACACTTTCCACTAAAATACTAATAAGTTTATATTTGTTAAAATTGTTCTTCATTTTAATTATTGTATTGCTTTTAAGTGTTGTTTTTTTTGGTGTGTTTGTTTGTTTGTTTGTTTTGCACTACAAATAAGGTATGTGCACTGTGCATAGAAATTCATTCATGGTTTTTTTTTCCAAATTATAATCTGGCCCTCCAACACTTTGAGATTTTGTGACCTGGCCCTCTGTTTAAACAGTTTGAGGACCCCTGTTGTAGATTATACCAAGATAAAGTATTTGAAAATGGAAGCAAAGGCAATCCAGGGGTATTTATTTTATAGAGTTTGCAATAGAGTTGTGAACTGTCACTTATTTGTCTTGATAAGTAGTTAAAATTTTAAAGTGAATTTTAAAAATATTCACTGAGACATCAAAATAAAAGAACGTGAAACATGGGAGACTGGAAGCATATGATTACTTAGAAGGAGAAAGAATGCTGCTTAGACGTGTTTTGTATATTAGTTAACATATGTCTGTTTCCAGTCTTAGAGGAGCTATTCAATGCATCTGTGTGTGATGACACTCTGCATCACAACAAATATTTTCAGGGGCAAAGCAAAATGATATGGCCTATTAGTGGCCAGAGGCATATGATGGTGCCTGGGCAGCATCCAGATGGTAGGGAAGAGGAGGTGTCGTTTCCCTAGATTTTAGCAATGCACAGGAGACCTGGAAGGACAGCATTTTATTTATTTACTCAATTATGACTACATAGCAATACATAATGGTTACCTAGATTTATACATCAGCAGCTGTCCCATATTTACTGCCTAGTCATAATTGTGACCCTGTTGCTATGATTATCATCCACTCATGCCTTGCGTTATAATCATTAGCAACATGCAGAGAAGAAAGTCCATTCTTCTGGGACATGAATGGATGATGCATCTGACAGATTTGGGGAAGTTGGACCAGGAGTGATTGTTATGTTTAAAAGTTGATTTTAAAAGTACTGGCCATAGTGTACACAGACAGTCCCCATGTTACAAACAAGATAAGTTCTGTAGATTTGTACTTAAGTTGAATTTGTATTAAGTTAGAACAGGTATATTTTTAAAGTGTAACTCCAGAGGTTAGACTAGCAAAGAGAAGGCTTAACAGCACTGTGTTGTTTGTTTGTTGTCTGTGCCTCTGTTCAGAGATTTCCCATTTTCTATCCCTGTGATACCTGGATTTTGAAAAAAAATGGCTTGTTGGGGAAACAAGGATTGGTGATAAGGCTTCATTGGAGACACTTTTCTCCATGATAACTCTTTCAGGAGTGAATTTCCTTTCCAAGGGGTAGATTTCTCGCTTCCTGTTGTCTCACCCCTGTTCTTAAGTGTGAGTTGTTTGTAAGTTGGATGTTTGTAACTCGGGGACTGCCCGTAGTAGAGATGACTTCCTGACTTCAAAGTAAGGTCATGTGCAATCTGCACAGACCGGGACCTCTGTACACTGAAAGGCTTATCTGTGTATCCTGGGCTGTTTTCTAAAATAATTTACCTGCATCTTGTGCACTGGGCAGAATAGAAAAAAAACTCCATTGTCATTTGTCGTTGTTTATTCGTTCAGTCGCTTCCAACTCTTTGTGACCTCATGGACCAGCCCATGCCAGAGTTCCCTGTCGGCCGTCACCATCCCCATCTCCTTCAAGGTCAAGCCAATCACTTCAAGGATACCATCCATCCATCTTGCCCTTGGTCAGTCCCTCTTTCTTTTTCCTTCCATTTTCCCCAGCATCATTGTCTTTTCCAAGCTTTCCTGTCTTCTCATGATGTGGCCAAAGTACTCCATTGGCATACAGGGAGAATTTTCTTTCCTCCCACATGATCCACATTGGATCCACAAAGAGGTGCTCTGAAGTAAAAAAAAAAAAAGAAGAAGTGTTGACTCAACTGTATTATATGTATTTAGTGTAGTTTATAGTTTATTTGAGAGATACAGAAGCTAAGTGCTTTTTTATTCTAGACTTAATGGTTTCCTATAGCTCATTAGGTATAGGAGACTTCAGTGAATATCTCTCCCTACCTGCCCCATGCCATCTCATAATCTATGACTAGTAGGATTCCTGATATCTTAAATAAACAGGAGGAAAAATACCTAATTTGAAAAGTACAATAAGAATGGGTTCCTGAGTTAATACTCATAATTAGAATCAAACGCATAGCAGGGTACCTTATCCCACTAAACATAAAAACCTATATTTCTAAGAGGAACAAGTACCAAGTTGATAATCTTTCCACCAGAGGAAGACCTGGAGTGAGGCCAAAACCGGTCATGGACTACAGATTTAAGTTCAACTCAACTCAAGAACATACAGCGTTGATACTTTTTTGAGTGACTGTACCAAACGTATATAATATTGTTTTGTAAATGCTATGATTTAGAACTGTATAATAAGTTTCACCAGTCACATTATTGGCTGAACTTATTTATTTCCCTTTCTGTGTACAAGTGGGCTACTGTTTGTATGTAAAATAACTAATTTGCCGGCATCATTGTTAAAAAGGAAATACTTCGAACCTCTGCATTTCTACTTCTCAATCACAATACATCATCATGATTACAGAAATAAAATGGAAGTTACTTTACATGCCCTGATGCTGAACATATCTACTTTGGAACAGAAAAGGAATGTGCACATATGTGTGTATGTATGTATATATGGAGCATATGTTGGGGGGGTGGGGGAGAAAGTAAAATAATGTATTATTTTAAGTAAAATAATAAAACGAGCACTACCATCTGGAACCATAAATATTCCCAGACAGCTTGGCTATAAAAAAATGTTGTTGTGTTAATAAGGGGAAAAGGATGTTGGAGCCAGTTTCAGCTGTACTTATTTATTTATTTGAGAAAGACTTACTCATCCAATGTTTTCCATTTGATTAAAGTGTTGCAGTATGTGCTTGATATGAATGTTTTGATGAACCAACCACGAGACTGTTTCCTTAGTGTCCTGGGTAGAAGCTCACTATAGAGAGAAAGCTCTTTTGCTTTTCTTGAACATGGCCCTTGCATGGATTACACACAGATATGCCACAATCTGGCCAATGCTGGAAAGCACTTATATGGTGTAGTAGTTTGGGTGCTGGACTTTGGGCACATCTACACTGACTATTTAATGCAGCTTCAAAATGGGATGGAAGAAGGTGATTTTGCTGTGCAAATTAGTACATAGGAAATCCTGGAACCTGTTTCAATGGCAATTACACAAACCAGAGCACTGATGGGGGCTTTTTGTGGGTGTTGGTTGTCTTGCTTCCACACTTTGAAGCTATCAAGAGAAGCTTAATCTTCAACTTTACATGAGTACTTGTGTGCTTCACCAAAAACACCTTCTTCACTCTGGAGTTTTAGTTTGAACAAACAACAACACTGGTTTAGTGTACTACTTTTTGAAAGAAAGAAAGAAAGAAAGAAAGAAAGAAAGAAAGAAAGAAAGAAAGAAAGAAAGAAAGAAAGAATACTCTGAATGAACAAATCTCTCCCAGATATGTTTATCATTTGATGGAGAGGATGTGAAAATAGGTAAAGTGAAATGATTTTCTCCGCCAGCAGATGTCAGCATAAATCCAGGGCTCATTGGAGGAACAACTAAATGCTCTGTGTGTTTTACATAAAGACTGGAGTCAAATTCAAGTAACAACTGTATTTATATGGAGAAATTAGCTATTGCATCAAAGGTCAGCAAATTGCAGGGCTGTGGCTGTATATGGCTCTCACATCTCTCATTTTTGGTTTTACTCTTTTGATATTGTTGGTACTCTGTAACTCCCAACGTGTTTAAGGTGCACAGAGTTAATATCAAGCAGGCACCCCAAAACTCCATCCCTCCAGCTGTATGGACCTCCAGCTCCCCAAATGCCAAGCCACCATGTCCAATGGTCAGGAATTCTGGGAGTTTGGAGAGCCAGAGTTTGGGGGTGCTTGATATAAAGTATAGGTTGCTTTTTCAAACCACTTTCAGTTCCTCGAATATTTACTTTTATCAGTAGACTTATCTCGGGACTCAGAGCACTGTGATTTGCCAATATAAATTCCAAAATACTAGTGTGATCCTGCACAACTTAGGTATCATTCACACTACAGACTTTATCACACAAAGGTGGTAAGCTGGCACACTGGTAGGCTGCCCAACATCATAGAATATTGGTTGTTGATCTACCACCTCCCCAAGATGAAGCTATTAGAGCAGGGGTCCCCAAAGTTTTTAAACAGAGGGCCAGGTCACAGTCCCTCAAACCATTGGAGGGCCGGATTATAATTTGAAAAAAACATGAATGAATTCCTATGCACACTGCACATATCTTATTTGTAGTGCAAAAAACACTTTAAAACAATACAATAATTAAAATGTACAATCTTAACAAATATAAACTTATTAGTATTTCAATGGGAAGTGTGGGCCTGCTTTTGGCTGATGGGATAGAATTGTTGTTTTGTTGTTGTTGTTGTGTGCTTTCAAGTCATTTCAGACTTAGGTTGACCCTGAGCGAGGG